CTCCCTCCCTCCTCCCTCCCTCCCTCCCTCCCTCCCTCCCTCCCTCTCTAACTAAATGGTGACGAACAACATTGTGCAGAACAGCGTCACGTAACGGTATGGAAACCGCCCAAAGTTTTGCAACGGGCTGTAACGTTTTGTCTTACGAGGCGTAGCAGATCTGTTACGTCGGGAAGGGCGCATGGCGAAAGGGAAGCGAACGGAGTCGCCGCTGGACGCGCAGCGGAGGGCGACGGAGGAGCAGAGGACGGCGATGAACTTGACGGTGCTGCAGCGCATGGACCCAGAGGTGATGGAGGTGCTCGAGATGTCCCGGCATGTCGTCCTGTACGCCTTCGACTGCGCCGGGCAGAGCTGGAGCAAGCTAGATGTAGAAGGGTCCATGTTCGTTGTGAGGAAGAGGAGGGCGTTTTCATGCATCATCCTCAACAGAAGTGGGCTAGAGAACTTTGTGCAGGACATCGGGACGTACACGATGGTGCAGATAGAGGGGCCTTACCTGATGTGCACGAACTCGACAAACAATCAGGTGGTGTAGAGGGCCGATGGTGTGATGGAGGTGGCAGTAAGAGATGTGCTGATGTATGGGTGCGATGTAAAGTTTTGTCTATTCTTGTGTGAGATGTCAAAATCCCTGCTCGCGTGTACGAGGTCTCTGACCCTGACTTTCGGTTTGGTTAACAAATACCCACGTGGAGGTTGACGTTCATGTAGGTTCTGGGATTTTGGTTCTACAAAGAAGAAGAAACAATAAAGATAGGAAAGCTCTTTAATGACCTTGTGGAAATATGCAAGGTTAGAGCTTGGGCATCTCTTCCAGCACTTGTTCATTGCCAGGTGATGCAGGGCGGATTTCCCGTCGAGCAGAGCCAAGCAAAAGGATACGGGGCAGTGGAGCAAAACCTGAGTATGTCAAGACAGAAGATGTTCACGAGTTGGGTTGACTCTTCCTTCAGAAAGCATTCTTGGCATCGCACCTGTCGATACCGGTGATGGACGGAACTTGCATGTGTTGAGGACTAATAAACCTGCAGGCCCGGCTGCGTCCGACAGGGCCACGGAGGATCTGAGTATCTTGAACAAGCATCGATGCTGCTGTGCTGACGAGTCGCGGTCAGAGGGTCTGCTCGGAATCTCCGAAGGACCTCAGCACAGCGAAGCCAAGGCAGGGGCGCTGCCTCCGGAGAAGCCGTCCGTTGCCCGACCTCTCGAAACTCCTTTCGCCATCCCTGCTAAGCTCGATGCTGGGGCAGAGATCATGAAGATGATGTGAAGGCTGCTTGCATGCTTCTTCTCTGCTCACCCTCTTCGATCTTCTAGCAATGCTGGCAAGGAGAGGGAGCCGCTGCCTCCGACCAGGGGACCGCCGCTTGTAGATACGCCAGTGCCAAGGTATTGCTGAAGTCCATCGAATGTCACTGAGACGTTGACACGTTCAGCTCTCCTGGAAGTGAGATCTTGGCTATGTTGAGGAACTCGTTTCCAGCTCCTGCCGCTCCTGCTGCTGCTGACGTCACAGATTCCTCAAGCGCCGCTCCGCACGCAGCCTCCTCCTTCCCCAGGCAAGAGACAGCCTCGAGCTCTGCCGCGGCGATTCTACCGGATCCATCGATCCCAACCATGACCCCAGCGAGTCTCCTCAGGCAATCAGTCCAGAGGACGCGCAAAGGTGAGACGTGTTGAGTTGTGAAGTTCGAGGCTGACCTGGAGGCGATTGCAGCTGACTTTGTCATGACGAAGGATCAATTCAAACGGGTTTGTTTTGGTTTGGAACCTTGTGAAGAGAAAACTAAGAATGTTTTCTCAGGCTCTGGAGGATGCGGTAAAGGACGATGCTTTCGTATCAGAGCTCTACGAGCAGTACCTGAACCCAACCCGCGGTCAAGGAGAGACAAGAAACCATTAGAAGTGGTTTAATGAAACATAGAAACTTTAAAGAGTCTTGAAAGAATAGGAGATACGCTCAAGCCAGGTGTGAGATGTTGCCGAAGGCACTGCCAGAGGTCTACACAAGCAAGTCAAGTCAGCAACCTCACATCGAACACTAAGGTGGCTCACCATGTATGTCGACTGAGCTTGCAAGTATTCCGTGTTGACAGCTGGGTAGGCAGGGCCCTCTCCTGCTGTAGGGATCGCACCCATCTCGGTAGGTTTCCCGTTCTGCCAATAGAATAAGTCGACGAGACCCGAGACAAGAAGATCGACATCAACTCACCTGCTCGGCCTTGGGGAATATGGTGCTCAAGCCGTGCTCAGACGCGTCCAGCCCGATGTCCTCGATCTCCTCAGAGACACGGAAACCAACAGTGTACTTGATGAACAAGAAGAGAAATGTTGAAGTGCCGCAAACCCAGGCGATGATGCAGAGAGCTCCCACCACCTGTACAGCGAACTGTTCGCCGCTTCCACAGGCTGTATTCAAATTGGGGTACGCAGCATACTGAACATTGGCATCGGTGCAGAAGATGCCAACACAGAGGATTCCCCAAAGGCCGCAGAAGCCGTGGACCACGCAGGCATCACAGGGGTCGTCGATCCTCAGCTTGAGGATGAGGTAGTGGCCGCCGACAAGCACGAAGGCAGCGCCACCTCCGATGAGGAAGGCCATCCATGGATTCACCACTGAACAAGAGGCCGTGATGGCAACGAGGCCCGCAAGGATCCCGTTCAGGCCCATGGAGATGTCGTAGACCCCAGTCACGATCTTGGAGAGCAAGGTTGTAACGATGGCTCCGGCAGCAGCAGCGATGGTGGTGGTCATCGCAACCTTGCCTGCGATGTTGGCAAGGTTGCCCGAGATCTTGAGGGTGGACCCACAGTTGAACCCGTACCATCCGAACCAAAGGATGAAGACTCCGAGAGACTGCAGGGTGGTGTTGCCTTCGAAGAGCGTGTGGACTTCGCCGTTGGGGCCGAACCTTCCTTTCCTTGGACCAATAACGATGGCGCCGATCAGGCCGCAGAATCCTCCAACCATGTGCACGACGCCAGAGCCAGCGAAGTCGATCATGCCGTTGGATCGCTCGTCACGGTTGAAGATTGGCCGGGCATTGCCTTGGGAGTCAGGGTAAGCACCCCAGGCGGAGAGCCAACCAGATCCCCAAACCCAGTGAACAATGACGGGGTAGATGAAGGTGGAGAGGACAGTCGAGTAGATGAAGTACGCCTCGAGCTTCGCGCGCTCTGCAACTGATCCTGCAACAATCGTAGCGCAAGCTCCCGCAAAGGCCCACTGGAAGAACCACATCTGCCAGTTATCTGATCCTCCACCACCTGAGCCGTTATAGACAGCTCTCAACCCATAGTTGGAATCTCCGATAAAGCCCTCACGGTCTTTACCAAAGGCGAACCCATACCCAAGGAGCCAGTAGCAGATGGCGGCGATGGATGCGTCGATCATGTTCTTGAAGAGAATGTTGGTGACGTTCTTGGGGTGGACGATACCCGCCTCCAACATGGCGAACCCGGCCTGCATGAAGAAAACCATCGCACCTGCAAGTTCAAATCTCAATCAACTGTGACATTGACCTTCGTTAATCTCACCAGTGATGACCAACCACGCGACGTCCATGTCACGAGAGTTTCCATCAATCAACTCCTTGAGCGATTCCAAAGTCAGAGGGGCTTCGTCGGACATGATGCTGCTGCTGCCGCAATGTGTCTGGCTCCGTGCTTCCTCTCGTGGACGGCGGAGCTTATAAAGACAAAAGAGCTGTCGGGGGGAACGGCTGGGAGTACCCTATGACCCCCTCAAAAGAGATATAAAAAGGGGGTAGTGGTCCCAGTCAAAGCAATCGAGAAGGAACGAAGGTAGGTATCAGAAATGGGGAAAGATGGGGGTAGGGGTAGTACAAGACGGTCCCAGTAAAGGGTGCATCTTATTACTCCACCCACCACCCCCCCACCCTCACTAATCCGAACTCACGTGGCCAGAGGCCGGTCCCGGGGACTGTACGGGTCAGGGTACCACCCCTTTTGTTCCTCTCTGTACGGTACGGTCATGTATGAGATATGGGGGGGTCCTGGGGTAGTGATTGAGGGCTCACTGAACTTGCGAAGAAACCTTCAAATCGTATGGTTTCGGTGCCGTACTGTCAAGAGCCACGAGGTCATGCCCTTTTCTCCTTCTTGCAAGTGCGTAGCCACAACCTCGTGTCCGTTTTTGACCAGCCAGGCCGCAGCCATCCGGGCAAGGCATCGGATGACTCAAGGTCAACCGCCGGGCCTGCCGGCCCGGGGGCCTCTCGGAGTTACTCCGAACTGACTTGCCGCTTACTGACCGTACCGTACTGTACCGGCGTGAACCTGCGGCCGGCGGCCCGGGCCGGCGGCGCCGCCCGGTAACTGAGCGGCCCGCCACGCCGGGCGGGCCCTGGCGTCGGTTGAATGGGCCCCGATTACAGTTGATGCTCAATCATGTTGATCTTATGTTTGGTTAGTTGAATTGTTTACTGGAGTTTTTTCTTTCTTGGTATTGTTTTTCGTTACTGTTGAAAATTCATGCGCGGCAATTCTATCAAGCCTTACACATTCGGATGACTCCTCTCTTCAATCCGCCTCTCATCCCAGCCTCAATTTGTTTGATTGATCATCGAATAGGAAAAACAAGCGCTGAGCCTTCCCCTGAGCCAGATTGGTCGGTCGAATATCAGCCTGATCGGACTCGAGCTTATTCGATTCATATTTTCTTGATCTTTGAGTAGGATCAAATGGAACTACCAGGAGATCTGGCGGAAGTTTAACTTCATGGAGCTAGGCCGCTGTGGCATGGATGATAACTGGACTCCTACTTCTGGATCGGCGAACAAGGTACAACTGCACAACAGGCTTCAAATGCCTTGAAACGGATGTTCCAATCTCGCGGCAGCAATCTCTGGTCACAAGTTCTTTACGGTTCAAAATTTATCTTTTGGTCTTCAAATGCCGGCGGGCACGCTCTCTCTCTCTCTCCCCTGGCAGTCAGACTCACTTATCTTATCCTCCTTCTCTCGTCATTGCATCAGCTCGCCAGCCGGGCATCTCCCTTATCTCTGCACTGCACATCTAATAGCCCTGCATGAAAATCTTCTTCAGAATGGACAATCTTTGACTGATCGTTATTGCCTGCTCAGGCCATAACCGGTTGAAACTTGACGCAGACAGTCTTCTCGTATCTCGACTTGGAACTCTGCTGACATTCTCTTGTTTGTGTGACTTTCTGACGTCCCGGCCGATGTAACGTACTATTTCAGAAACTCGGGGGGAGGATGGAGCGTATGCCAGCCGTGCCAGTCAGACTCGCCGAGTTAACTTAACTTACAAAACTCTCCTGCTACTAAAGGTCCTCTCATGTCTGGATGCGGCTTGGGTTTCACATCCTGGCATCATAGTACAGTCTATCTCTCATGTGCTCCTCAATTCTGGTAAGTTTGTGTGCATTAAACTCGGTCTTGCCAGTGAGCAAAAACTGTCTTGTTACAAGCGTGATATCTGCGTACTAACTACTACCCGGTGAAACGGTGCTCCCGGGCCGTCACGTCCGACTCGGACTCCGAGTCCGGCGGACGGTGGCATTGACCGTCGGACCGGTGTGCCCGGCGCGCCGCTACGGCCTGCTCACTGAGTGAGGCTCAGCGGCTAGCAGCCCGGCCAGCCTGTGAGCGGCCGTGACGTGTGTGACCGTGACCGGCGCCCGATCGGCGCCCGGGCCTCCGGGCGACGGCCCCCCGCCGGGCTCCCCCGTCGGCCCGCTGAGGCTCGGAGGGCCGTCTCGCGGCGGCGTGGCCGCTTACTAGTACCAACCGTGCGCGGCCCCCGCCGGGCCGGGCCACGCCACCCGGCCCGGGCCCGGCGAACCGGCCGGGAGGCGGCCGCGGCCGGGAGGCGGCCGCGGGTGCCATCATCCTGAGTCGCGGGAGTCGGACCGTCAGTCGGCGACGCCGGCCTGGGGCTCCAGCGCGCGCCGCCGCGGCTGCTCCGAGGATGATCCGAGCGACTCCGATCACCACTGCTGTGACCGACCCAGTGCGCGGCCGCTGAGAACTGCGCCGCCACGGTGACTTTGACTCTCACCACGGTACGGCCCGTCCGGGCGGCCGCCCGCGGTCACCCCGGGCCCGCCGGGTGAAGAGAAACGGCCAAGAGGCGTGAAGGTACGCCAGGGGAAGTATAGGAGAGGAGAGGAGAGGAGAGGAGAGGAGAGGAGAGGAGAGGAGAGGAGAGGAGAGGAGAGGAGAGGAGAGGAGAGGAGAGGAGAGGAGAGGAGAGGAGAGGAGAGGAGAGGAGAGGAGAGGAGAGGAGAGGAGGAAGAGTTGGAGGTCAAAATCCTACGATCAACCAATGGCAACGAGTCTTCCGCTGTCCATCGGAGGCAGGAGATCCGCAGGGATCGAGGAGATGCTGGAGAGGTTCAGGTCGAACAACAGGACGCTGATGCACAAGCTCTACTCGCTCGGGGTCAACGAGATTGAAGAGGATCGTGCGAACGAGTTGCCCATAGCGTCATCGAGAGGGATTGTGCAAGGAGATCTGAATCAGTGCTGGGTCATCAAAGGGTACCATGCCATGACCCCTGCTGACCCTCAGTCGACCATCCACAACGAAGGGCTTGACGTGATGTTCTACGCCAACGGGTGGGAGGGAGACATGAGAGACGAACAGGCGAGCTTGCAGTCCTGTCAGTTTATTGTGCGAGGGGAGACAAGCTTTCTGAGCATCGAGCGATGTACAAATTGTATCATAGCCTTGGACTCGGTGAAGGAGGCTGTGCTGGTTGTGGACTGCAGCAACATCATCGTGATGCTGGGCAGCGATGTGCCTCCCGTGACGGTCAAGGAGAGCGTGGGGGTCGAGATCGTCATGGGGCAGCAGAAGAGGAGGGAGGAGGTTCCCATCGAGACCAAGAACTCGTGTGGCTGCTTTCTCTCCGTTGTTGAGGCCAAAGCTGAGCCCGTTCTCGCCAACGAGCTCCTCCTCTCGCGCAAGAGAAACGCTGGTGACTCACCTCTCACGTCCCATGGTTGGCCTGCTGACTCTCTGCAGATATGATTCCAGACCATATGATCACAACAATCGACAACGGAGCAATCTTCACAGTGTGTAAGAACGAGCAGTCGATGCTGAATCAAGGTAAGACTTCAAATCTTGTTTGCTCCAATTTGACACCAATTCATCGTTTTAATCAAAATCAGCACACGTGCTCATGGCAACCAACTACAACATCATGCCGAATCAGTCGTGAAAAACTGTTTCTTGCGTGCCCATACTATTGTGTACAGTTCTTTTAAGATATGATCAGCTCTGTCAAGAGGAAAAAAGCTTTAGAAAAACTGATTCTCGTCATATCGCCCTGGATGCATCTGTTGCATCTGTTGCATGTGATTGGTCGCCGGCGGGTAATACTCGTTGCTTCTCTGCATGGGCATTCGTTGCACATACCCAGCGTTGGATGTCGACACGGAAGCAACGCCGATGGGGCTCTCGTCAGATCCGACTTGCAGAGGGACCTTGGAGACATTCGCCTCCTGATACATGACTGACCTCTGCTCGCCTTCACTCTTCGGGCTGTACCGCTGGAGAGGTTGAACAGCCATCTGTGGCGATCTGCCATAACTGACAACGTTGGTGTCGACGTGCTGCACTCGCATCCCTCCGTTCTCACGCTGAATCTCCTGAGCGCTCTTGGCGGCTTGATCTGAATTCACCATCCTAGAAAGATTTGTCTCCAGCTGCGCAATTTTTGTGTCTTTCATCGCAAGGACCTGACAGCAGATTGAGGCGAGAAAATGGACGATAACACTAATAACAATGTGTGAAAGAACAAGAACAATACCTGACGTGTGTCGAAAAGAGCTCGCTCGTAGTGCTTCAAGCGTTCATTTGTCCTTTCCATCTGCATCTTGTACATGGATTCAGATTGATGCAATTGATGTTCCATTGCAGAAATTTTCATTCGATCTTGCTCCTTCTCCTTTGCGAGCGCTGGAAGACAGCCGACGTCAGTATGCATGTCAAACATAGAAAGATTTTGACACCTCGCATCTGAATCTCAAGTCGGGACATCTCTGCTGACTGCGAAGATGCAGAAGTTAATGCTTCAGCTGCAAGAGCCAACTTCTGATTAGCATCTTGCAGCTGCTTGTGAAGAACGTTTCGCTCTTGGTTCGCTTGATTTTGAACTTCTTCGATTCGCTTAGCTTTTGCTGCAACGTCTCTTTGAAGATCGGAGATACTAGACTGCTTCCTTCGGATATCCTCTTGCAGGGCATGTCTCTCTTCGTCCGACTTCAAAGCATATTCGGAGTGTTTCTTGATCTGATCCATCAAAGCTTTGTTTTCTTGATTCATTCTTTGGATAGCTGCATTCAGATCCTCAATATGTTTGTGCATTGCTTGCTTGTCCGACAAATGAGCCTTCTCGGAAGACTGTGCGATTCCTTGAATTCGAACCTTCTCTGAATCGCTCTCCTTCTTCTCCTTCTCCAGTTTCTTTATCTGATCCTGGGCAATCGTGTACGCATCTTTCATCGAGCTTATTTGAGCCTTTAATTTCCCAATCTCCTCCATATTCTGATTGTTTGATCTCGCTGATGATTGCTGGTTGGCGAGCAATTCATCATGCGAATCCTTCAAGCTCTGTTTCAAGCGAGAAATTTCCTCATCAGCCTTTGCAAGCCTACCTGAAAAAATTTGAACTTGCTTTGTGAATTGTTCCTCTTGATGAGCGAAAATTTTGTTTTTCGTCTCAATCTCTGTAGCCTGCTTTTCTATTACATTCTTCAGCTCCTTCAAATTAGACTCATATTTCTCTTGGATGTTGGAGAGAGTCATCTTCATCTCTGCTTCTTTCTGTTTTGTTTCCGCCTTGTGTTGTGCAGTGATTCGTTCCAGCTCATTATGATAAGATTCACTGTTCTTGCGATTATCACTCTCTAGTTTCTGGACTTTTTCTTCACTGAATTGAAGCTTTTGATTGAGCTCAGTTTTCTGTTGATCTCTCTTGTTGATTTCTGACTCGAGAGTTGACCGATGTATGTGTAAATCCTGTATGGACTTTTGTTGTGTAGAAGCGGTATCTTTCAGCCCTGCGATCTCTTTGACAAGCTTCTGAACAGAAGCCTCATGACTCTCTTTAGCATTCTGCAATTCTTTCGAAACGGTTTCCTTCTCCAGGTATGCTTTTTCCAGATCCTGTTGGAGAGTTTTGCTTTTTTCCTGAAGCCTTCCAAGCTCAGTTTCATACTTCGTTTTCTCAGATGTTAGTTCCTGGTCCTTTGACAAGGACAGACTTCTTAATTCTTGCTCCAAAGAGACAATCTTGGATTGCATGTCCTTTGACTGCTCATCCAGAGCATTTCTCTCTCCGGTCAATTCCTTGATCTGAACCTCAAAAGCCAATCTCGATTCCGCCTGCTTTCCCAGTCAATCCAACGCTCAAGAAGGTTTTGCAGTAGCTACCACTTGCTTGTATCGCTCTTCCGCTTCCGTCAGCGCTGACTCTGCATCTTTCAACGCCGCTGACTGTTGCATATTGTTTGAGACAGAGAGGTCATGTTTCTCCTTCAGCTCAGCATGTCCTTTCTCAAGTCCTTCACAACAGGTTAGACCAGGAGGATGAATGCCAGGAGCACCTTCTATCTTCTTGCTCAACTCCAAGATGGTCCTCTCGCTCTCGGCCAGCTGGCATCTCACACCATGAGAAACTCCACACCTCACAGTTTGAATACCTTTGCTTCTTGTTCCTTGTGCACGGATTGATTTTGATTTTGCAGTTTTTGTTGCGATTCAATGAGTTCCTGCTCCGCCTTATTCAGACACTGCTGCAAATGCTGGACTTCCTTCTCTTTCATTTCAATCTGATGATGAGACTGGCAAAGCAAAGTGTCATGATGGCACATTCGGATGTGAGCCAGCAGAAACACCTCGTTGAGACCCTTCTCGAGTTCAGCCATTCTGTCTTTCGTGGTGTCGCTTTGCCCTGCTTTGATTTTCAACTCAGACTCCAACTGCTCGATCCGTTGTTGCTTCTTGTCCATCTGCATTGCGTATGCACTGTCAAGCAGATTGATCCCGCAAGGCATGAACAAACCTCAGAGCACATGGAATCTTCCTGCTCCTTCATCTGTTTCTTTTACAAGTGTCAGGTGGATGCTACAGGACATGGCATCATACCTGCAGATCTTCAAATTGAGCCTCCAAGAGATTCTGCCTCTTTTCGAACTCTTCTTTCATTGTATTTGCGGAAGCTGTCTCCTCACTACATTGAACATTCAGTGATCTCACATGATGTGCATTTGCTGCTTGATGCCTCTGCGATTGGATCCGACTCGTCAGCTCTGATTTCTCACGCTCGTATTCAAGAATCTGGAAATACAACATCAACATCGGAGATGCGAGACCACAGGTTGCAGTCACTGACTTTCTTCTCCAAGAGGACTATTTGGCTATCCACGGACTCCTTCGAGGCAGAGTTCTGAGCCTTGAACGCCAACTTTCAATTCCAATCACAACACACAGCACGAGGCCACCTTGACATCTGACAATTCGGCTTCTTTCTTCTGCAAATCAGCCTTAAGAGTGTTGGCTTGTCGTACACTATCCGAAAGTTCTTTCTGAAAAGGAATTAAGGCTGCAAACAGACAGTAGAGATTGTTTTACTTCGAGCTTTGTAATTCGCTTCTCAAGGTCTTTATTCTTTGTCTTGTTTTTCTCCTGTTGTGAACTTTCAAGATCTTTCACTTTGCTATAAAGTAACTATGTTCAGAAACGAAATCTGATCAGATGTAGTAAACCTTTGTGCTGTTTTCAGACTTTCCAGTGCTTCAGCCTTCTCTGAATTCACCTTTTCAAGGAGGGTTTTGCTGTCTGAAAGCTCCTGCAGTCACTGGTGTAAGACACAAGATCAATGCTCAAGTGTCAGGATCATTCCTTCTGGAGAGCATCCATCTGGTTGGCAGGTACACTGGCAGCCTTCTGTTGATCCACTTCGTCTTTGAGCTGCTTCAAGCGTTCTTGTAGAGTTAGGTTTTCAGCCCTATTTGTCTCAATCATTCCTCATCTACAACAGCCTCATCCTCTTCATCCTGCACCTGAAACGCTGCGATTCGGCCTGCATCTGCATTTGACTGGCTTCCATCCTGTACAATTTTTCTCGTTCCACCCTCCTGTGATGAAGTCAGCAAACTAGATCGATCGTCCAGGCAACATTCACAGATTTTCAAGCAACTTTGTCTTCTCCAGCAACAATGACTCTCTTTCAGAGATCAAGTCCATGAGCTGCATCTTCTGCTCCAGATTTCCGCTTTTGGCTTCCGCTTTCTTGGCCACCTCTTCACGAGCTGGATGAACCTGTGTCTCGTCGGCACTTCTGTGCATCTTGTTGTCATGGTTTTCGGACAAGCCTGAGGCAAGACTGTGAGCTGTCTCTCACACATTGAGCGAGACGCTAAGTTGCATGAACAAGCGCAAAGCAAAGTAGGCGGGGCACCTTCCGAAGAGTGTGTGGGAGTTTGAGGCGCCGCGGGCCCTGCTGACTTATTGTTGGCATTTCGCTCGGGTATTCTAGGAGCAGAGGACTTCTGCTTGGCGTCTTGGGAGGGTGGGGGGCGGGAAGGAGGAGAAGCTTTGCCGGAGGGAGGAGCGAACATGCCGGCGGCTGGTGGAGCTGGTGGGTCGCCTCTGCCACTGTGTAAAATTCGGTAGTATCAAACAATACAAAGCTGTACTACTAGGACGCTCCGTCTCAGTACCTTTATAACATTATATCATGAATGGTACAACTGATGCTAACTGAAATCATAAAATGTTTTTGTTTTATATTTGTAGATATGACCGTAGCTGTTACTACCAGTAGCCTATCAAAAAACGAACTCTAGCATTTATAGTTGTTTTAAATTCGTGACATTCGCTTCCAGAGGACTAAAATCAGTACGGGGCTGTATACTTCGAGTCTCTTGTGGTACTTCTTTATAATAGATTTAATTTAGTTCCTGTTGAACTGGCTCTTGAATAAAACTCATTTTAAGTTTGGGCAACTTTGGCAAGTTCAAGTCCGGGCCTCCGAGGGATGACCGACCGTCGGTACTATCATGATCCGGGATCATCGGATCATCGGATCATGCCGGACCGTACTGTAACTTCTGAGTGATCGGATCCTCACACTGTGAGTCAATCCGCTTGCCACTCTCAATGACAGTGATCCAAACTGAGAGAACCGTTGAACTAAATTGAAGACAGCGTTGGCAAGCCTGAGACAGAGTCGGAGCCTGAGCCTCACTGCAGCAGCCAGAGAACTTGATCGGAACCGTTTGTAAGCCTGACCCCCGGGCCCGCGACACTCACTGTGACAAGTTCAAACTTTCACCCCCGCGCTCGGAAACTGGCGACCATGGGCCGGGCCTCAGTGACCGGCGGCCCGGATCTGAACTTCGTAGTAGTAATTAAGTTAGTCAGCCTCCCCCGGCGTACTAGCCTGAGTCAGTCAAGCAACCCGCACTGGCCGGGCGGCACTGCGGCACGTCACGAGTCATGCGCCAGGCTGCCACGGCACTGCCGGGGCCGGGCCAGTCACGGTCCGATCCGATCACGTGACTAGGACACTGTGACCGTCCGTACTGCCTGGCAGGGCCTGCGGGCGGCGGCCCGGTGCCGGGCCGGGCCGGGCCGCGGGAGGTGATCTAAAGTGTTGGGGTCAGGGGTGATTGAAAGGGAAACACCACGGGTACAAATGGAGGATTTTAACCGGGTGGGATGTGTTCACTCTCCTTTTATTCATGTGGGTGTCAGCCAACAAGGGGGTAGTGGGTACTCTGCCGGCTTACTAAGCGCAATGAAGGTGAGCACGATGGAGGCAGCAAGAACATGCGGAAGCCGATATGATAATGCGTGACGAATGAGCCCGACAAACAATGAACTCAATGATGATGAAGGTTGAGAAGTGCTAGAAACATCCTTTATCACTGAAACAAGGTCCATATCACCCACATTGTACATTGCTGCCCTCACTCAGTGAAACTTTTCTTGCATTCCAAATTGATAGGGAGTATGAGTGCAATGAAGCGGAACATCCTTTGAAAATTTTCAGCAGATAAGTATATGTGTAAAAGACACTTTGGGTTCCAGTGAGTTAGTATCTTTGACACAGAGAAAGAGTACTTCAAAACTAGTTATGATGGCTTCACGAATCTCAACCCTTGCATTCTTCTTGTGTTGTCGATTTTTGCTCTGACAAAAGAACTTGGAGTTTGTTGCTAGTTTTGCTGTACATAGAAAGGAAGTGCCGAGGATGTCTGAAAACATCCGACATATAGTCGTGTTACAACGTATGTTGTTAATTGCACCGTAACGCTTTGCTTGGTTTCGTAAGAGTGAGAGAAAGATGATCCTCAGGGCGAAGCTTCATGGCGATTTCATCTGACGGCATGTTGCAGTTCATCGATGTCCTGCATCGCTCGGCTGTGGTCGGACTGTTTGGTGTGACAATCTACGGAGGTGGATTCATTGCTGTCCGTCTGATGGACGTGAGAAGAAAAGCACGTGAACTCAAGGAATATGCTGAGCAGAAAGGTGTGAGCTACGAAGATGCTGCCTTGCAGGTGAGATCTTTCGTTCCGTCTGTTGCATATTATCCTTGGCACTCTCTTTGGGAACCTTGAGTGATTTTTAATTGTGGGAACCATGATTTTTAATCTGTGCCAAGATACTGACACAGTTTGTTTCACAGCTCGGGTACAAGATTCAGGAGAATCAATCATAAAGAGATGTTTCATCAATAGATTCTAGATATTTCTGAATTGAATGGAGTTGTCAGCTGCTCTGTTCCTTGCCAGAAGCCAGTTTCTGATCCGAGACCTGACGGTCACGGTGAAACCGTGAAGTAGCCGATGCCTGATGGGGTTTGGTCGGAGTTCAGGCTTAGAACTTAAGTTAAATGCTTTCAGTTTGTAGTCCTTCTCAATGTTGAGCCTGTTCAAGGAGTCCCGTGCAGCGGCCGCGCGGCGGGCGGCTTGACCCGGTGACCGCTTCGGAAACTTCCGAAGTTCGGCCGTCGTGACTGAGCCTACTCAGGTGAAACCGGCCCTGGCCCGGGCGGGCCCAAGTTGACAGACTCGCCCGGCGGCCCAGGCTGGCTTGGCCCACTCTCACTCAGTAGGCCGCAGACTCCGAGCCACTCCGACACGGGGCCCCGGCGCCGGACTCAGGGCCGGGACTCCGGGAGGCGCCGGGCCGCCGGGCCCGGCCGGCCGCATCCGGGGGGCCCGCCGTGTGAGTCACGTCCGGCGGAGCCGCTGAGCCGACCGGCGGCCGGCCCGGGCTGCCGCGAGTGAGGGCCTGGCACTGGGCCGGGCTATGACTCCGAGTCGGTGTCGGTGACTCACGGCGCGGCCAGGCCCCGGCGTAGCCAGTGACAGCCGGCCCGGGGCCTGTGAATGGCCGCTGAGGCGGGCCGCCGCCGAGTTCGGAGGCTTCCAGAGAAAAGTTCTGGAATGCAACGGGATAGTAACGGTCAATCTCGTACAATATCATTCCATGTCCATCGTCCATGCGTGTTGCCATCTAGCGTACCTTGCTCTCGCTATACCTCCGCTCCTCTACCGCCTTCTCTTCTTCTCTCTTCTTCTCTCTCCGCGTCTCTCTCTCACTCCCTCTGCCTGCCTTCCTGCCTTCTCTGCTTGCCTGCCTGCCTGCTTGCCTTCTCTTTCTTGTAGATTTCCCTCCCTCCCTTCTCCACCTCCTCTTGCTTCCTCCTCCTCTCTCTCTCTCTACTCTCCACCCATGAAAATTCATTCACAATCGAACCTTCTTCACCTTCTCCCCTCCGCTCGAACCCCTCATCCCTGCCCATTCTCTCTTCCAGTTCACCCACTCGTTCAAGTCTCTACTCCCCGCTGTTGTTACATGCAGCTTTGCGGGAACACTATCGCTCGTTCCTTGACCTCAATTCTCTTGGTTTCGCTGCACGTTTCCTTCTGAGCATTAACGATCCAATGCATTCACTTGTTTTCCTTTTGATTGAGTGCTCGTGTCACGCGCATAATAGATCACCATCGTCCATTGATCCAGCTCTTTCTGACAAGGAGATTTCAAGTTATTTAGCATGTGATACGATCTTGTTGACGCTACTCCTTCTCAGGGTGCGGAGAAACCGATGCCGGCAGCAGCTTTGGTATGTGACCTGGACTTGGTGGCATGAGGGATGAGGGCTGACGGGTGTCGTGCTCTTCTCCCCGCAGGAGACCGACTCGGCTTCCGACGATGAGAATCTGGAAATACCCCTCTCAAGAGACGAGCAGCGGGCAAGATGGGAGTCGGTAGGTTCCTGTCCTGAATCCGAACGCCTTGCAAGCTAGTCGGCAGGTGCAGAAGGAGCATGAAGCGAAAGAGCACAGGGTCGGAGACGTCTGGTGGACTTGTTGGTGTCTTGATGCTCTGCGGTGACACTCTTCTGTCCGTCAGGTATGTCATCAGTCAGCGGTGGATGGACACCTTCAACGGGTACATGAACGGGATGGTGGATGGTGATTGACTGAGATCTCCGACACACAAATGTTGACGAGGGCTATGCAGATGCTCCTACCGAGATCATGAACTACGTGTGTTGAGCTGATCCGTGCTTCCTGCGTTGAGGCGTCTCTGCAGGACATATTGTTGGACGGTGTCTCGCGCGAAGGCAAGAATTCTTGGAGGCATTCAGAGGATATGGAGCAGGAATACCAGGTGCAGTTTGATTGCCAGCTTTCAAAGCCTCACGGCCCGAAGTTGTTTCCTACAAGCTCGCGCGGAACTCCTACACACGACGCGAGCACGTCTTGAGGTATGGCCTGAAGAAAGGAGAAGACTTCACGGCTGTGCCAGAAGCGCAATTCAACCTGCTCAAGGTACAGACTTGAATGGCTGGTGTTGGCCGTGACAGTGATCTTCAAGTCGTGGTTCGGGGGTTCGCATTGGATAAAACGACAGCTTGTCTTGAAGGACAATGTTGTCGAGGTGGAAGCATACCCCATCCAGGTTCCTCTCCCCTCTGCGCCGCCAATGTTCTCATGCAACTGCCGTGCAGCTCTGGGTGGAGAGACGCCGAGGCGACAGTTGTGAAGTTCATGCGTTACTGATCAGCTGCAACTCGACCATCGCAAGGTGAAGACGCTCTGGAGGCGCATGGCGATCAAGAGATGCTCATGGCAACTCAGGCTGCAGGAAACTGTCGGAATGGTCCTCAAGATGAGTGGCAGACCGGAAGTGGAGGTCAGAAAGAGAGACGGGTCGGTTGTCCATCTTCCCAAAGAAACTCACGTAAAGCTTCAAGACCTCAACGGTGACCCAACACCTCTCAACGTCTCCTCCGCCTTTCATCGAACTCACTCGCCCGCAGTCTCCGACTTCGACACGCTCTTTGTCAAGGAGTTTGACGACGACGACGACGACGACGACGACGACGACATTACCATGGGCAACTCGATCTCGACTACCCAAGAAGGAATCAGGTCATCCGAGCTGCTGGATACCAGGTGAGGCAGCAGTGAGGGTCTAACTCTGACCCCTCCTTGCTCGTCTCTAAGACCTCTCCTGCAGTCTTACTCCTCAAGACGCTGCGGGCTACATCTATGGGCCCTCGCCTCGCCCTTGCTCTCCTCCTGTCTCTGCCTTCTGCACAGAGCTCAGCGCCGCTGAGGGAGACGAGCCGATGGGCAGTGAGCGGGAGCATGACGCGACTCCTCAAGACCGTCCTGCCATCCTGGTAGCCCATCCCTCGCATCCCTCGACCGCTCTGCTGATTCCCAAGCAGCCAGGAAGAGGTCTCGTTGGCCTGTCGAACCTAGGGAACACCTGCTTCATGAACTCGGCCCTGCAATGTCTATCCAACACAGCAGCTCTCACCAACTACTTCCTTGGACGTAAGACCCTCCTCTTCTTCTTCATGCTCCCAACGCTCATCCTCCCTCTCTCCCTCCTCGTCTGCTTTTCGATGAGAATTTCTCCTCTTCTTCTAGCCACCTGGAAGGATGATCTCAACCCAACCAACCCCCTTGGCAACGGCGGGGCCATCGCGGAGGTGCTGGAAGTTTATGCAGCCCGTGGGAGGCTCGTGACGTCTCCTTGCAGGCGTACGCGAGTCTCGTCGAGCAGATGTGGTCGGCTTCGAGCACCATGGCAGGTGCTCCCACTCCCAGAGGCGGGCCTGGCGAGTCCTTGACCTGCTGCCAGTGAGTCCCCGGCACGTGAAGCAAGTCATCGGAAGGTGCGCCCCTCAGTTTGCGGGGTTCCTCCAGCACGACTCGCAGGTCTCCGTCCACGTCAGCTGCCCTCCTTCTGACCCCCCGCAGGAGCTGCTGGGCTTCCTGCTGGACGCGCTGCATGAGGATTTGAATCGAATCCGATCGAAGCCTCTGATCGAGATGCCGACCGGCGATGGCACCAACGACAGGTGAACCTGCTTCCCAGCTCTCGCCCAGCTGCTGACAGCCGAGCAGGGAGGTATCGGAGCTGGTGTGGGAGCGGTACAAGCTGAGAAACGACTCGATGATCCAAGATTGTTTGCGGGGCAGTACCGCTCCGAGCTCGAGTGCCCCTGTGGCAACGTCTCCGTCTCCTTTGACCCCTACAACTGCGTCACGCTGGAGCTGCCGCAGGCAGGGGTGAGGAGCCTGTCGACCACAGCTGAGCTGCTGGTCAGGTGACCGACTTCGTGCTCACGCTTATGGCGCACCATCTCAACAACGCGGAGAAGCCGATCAAGGTCATAGCTCGCCTCCCAGCTGGAGTTTTGCTGAGGGAGGGCTGCAGGTCTCTTTCTCGCTTCCTCGTTCTGCCGTCATCTCGGACCTCAAACGCGAAGTCGCGAGTTTCATGTGTGCGAGTGGGAAGGTGATGGTCATCGCTGAGGTGAGGAGGAGGTGGAGGAGGAGGAGATGAGAAAGATCGGGCTAAAAGAGTGTGTGAAGGTTTGGGATGGAAGGATACAGAGCGTCTTCAACGATTCCGATCGTCTGTGGGAGAGAAGGTGCATGATGGTGGTGGTGGTGGTGATGATGATGACGACGACGACGATGACGACGTTGATGATAAAGAGAGCTCGTAACAATTGATTTCTCTTTCTGCAGGAGGCCGACGATGCCGATTGATCTTCACGCGTACATACTGGAGGACAACGTGAGCAGGTTGGGATGCAGTTGGAAAGGAATGCTTGCTTGCTCGCTCTTCGCCTGACTTTCACCACAACAGTCTCTTGACTGAGGCCCCTCATTCGCTTTCATCTGACCCTGTGGGAGGCCCTGAACCAGGCAGGCTGTCTCACTCACTTCCGTCACCTCCTTTTCTTTCTCCTCGTCCTCCTCTCTTTCTCTTCCTCTTTCTCTTCCTCTTCCTCTTCCTCTTCCTCTTCAAGCTGATTGGGTTTGCCCGTCTTGTGGTGCGGGTTATCCTTGTTCATCTAACTTGTGATGTTGGCCAGACACGACCTCGAGCATCGTCAACGTCAAGGTTTTACTGAGAAAGTCAAAGAAGCTAGTGAGCTTCCGATCTCCTTCCTCCTCCTTCACGTCCTGCTGACCTTGCTCCCGCTCCTCGTCTACGTCCTCCTCCCTCCTCGTCCTCTCTCTTGTCGTGTGCTGACGTCTCCTCCCAGATGTCCTTCACCCCCATGTTTCCCTCCCGTGTCGACACCACCGTCTTTGGGATCCCCTTCTTTCTCTCCGTCTCACCTCAGCATGAAGGCGTCGTTTCTCTCCGGCACAAGGTCGCTCTTCAGCATTCCTAACCAACCGTCTCCTCCTGCCATTCTCCTCCCCCCCCCCTCCTCCTTCTCCTCCTCCCTCCATCTCCTCCTCCTCCTCCTCCTCCTCCTCCCCTCCCTGGGCTCCTCCTCCCTCCTCCCTCCTGGTCCCTAACCGTCAGCAGGTTTACCGGGCGATCTGGCGCTACTTCAAGTCGGACCTCATGGAGCAAGTGAAGGAGCTCGACAGGTAGGCAGGAGAGCCTCTGCCTGAGTGACACGGGAGCAGGAGGGGGGACGTCAGCCTGGGCGACTGGGAGGAGAAGATCCCCGACTTGCAGCAAGCGATCGTAATGAGGAGGGTGCGGACGTACTACGATGAGGGACAAGAAATCCTCGACGACCACGACGTGAGTGGAGGGGAGAGCGTGCGCGGGGGCTGACGGGGAGGAGCAGATGGGGTTGTTGGAGGACGGCTGTCTCATAAGCATCGACTGGACGGAGGAGGGAGTTGAGAAAGTGCTGAATGCGACTGAGACAGAAGAGGTAGAGGAGGATGAGAGTTAGAGGAGCAGAGTGAGCGGATTGTGAGAGAAGGGAAAGGGGAGAGGAGGAGGAGGAGGAGGAGGGGCAGGTGGTGTTGGTGGGGGGTTTTGGGGGTGGGGGAGGAGGAGGTTCTGCTCTGGCATGCTGAAGAAAGCTTCAGGTTGAAGTGCATGAGTCAGTTGATAACCTTGTGAGCTCCAAGGAGAACAAGGTGAAAATCCCGTTGTGGTTGTCTCAAAGGCATCAAACGCATCTGATTTGAAATTTTGCAATGTTTTCTTCGACTCTAATTTGAATTCTCATTTTGCTCCTTTCCACCCTCACCTGAAATCTCTCCCTTTCTGCAGAGTGGCAAACAGATCACGTTGCAGGACTGTCTCACCAAGTTCACCTCCACCGAGGTCGGCGGCTGTCGCTCAGTCATTCGTGTTTTGACAATCTCCCCAGACTCTCTCGGAGCATGACATGTGGTACTGCTCACGTTGCAAGGTATCACATGCAGAAGCCTCTATCCTCCCTCCCTCCCTCCCTCTCCTCTCTCTGCCCTGTCCTGCCCTGCCCTGCCCTGCCCTGCCCTGCCCTGCCCTGCCCTGCCCTGCCCTGCTCCTCCTCTCCTTCACTTTGAATGTTTGCCCTGCTCGGCTTTCACTTGAATCTGAACTGACGTCTCAACCTCTCGTAGGAGGCGCGAAGGGCAAGAAAAACAATGTCGTTATGGAGTGTTCCAAAGTAACCGTCCTCCTCCTCCTCCTTCACATCCCCCTCCTCCTCCCCTCCTCGCCATTAACCCCTGCTCTTCTTTCGTCTCCTCTTCCCCCTGGTCTCTTGTTCCTCTCTTGCTGCTCCTCCCCTCCTCCTCTGCGGACGATTCACTTCTCCTCCACAGCTTCGTCATCTTCCACCTCAAGAGATTCTCCGAGGACGAGAGCTATGGGGGAAGGTGAGGCTTTCCTCTCCTCCCCTTCCTCCCGCTGACGACCCTCCGACTCCTGCTGGTCGAGCAGGGAGAAGATAGAGACCTGCGTGCAGTTCCCCCTCGAAGATCTCGATCTCTCCCCCTACGTGAGTCTCCTCCTCCCCTCTTCCTGGTCTCCTTATCGTCCTCCCCTCAGGTCCGCAGCTTGCAGAGGCCAGGGGATGCTGAGGACAACCCTTACCTCTACGACCTCTATGCAGTGATCAACCATTATGGGGATGCGGGCTTCGGGTACCAGAGCGACTCCTCTACCCCTCTTCGTCTTCCTCCTCCTCTCCTCTTCCACATGTGCTTATCCTCCCTGTTTCTTTTCTCCGCTCTCGCCGTCTCCTCTCTCAGCATCACTGCTCTCTGACCAGCTCTCTCAGACACTACACGGCGTTCGCTCTCTCCCCGGGCAACGACCAGTGGTATCTCTTCGATGACTCCCGAGTGACCAAGGTCTCGCCCCCCTCCCCTTCCCTCCCCCCTTTCCTCTCTCCTCTTCCTTGTCGTGGCTCTCACCTCTTCCACTGCCTTATCACGTACACGAGCAGGCAGCCAAGGAGTCAGTCTGCAGTCAGGCCGCCTACGTTCTCTTCTACCGACTGTGAGTGCCGAACCCTTCGACACCTGACGCGCTGACGCCGTGGCAGACGCGAACCCTATGAGGCGCTCGAGTGAGGAGAGGAGGGGGGCTGCTGATATTCTTTCTTGTGATATACGGTGAACTCTCGTGACCTCTGCTGGGCTCCTCCTCCAGCTCCTCTCACTGCGAGTCCGCAATGGACTCGACGAGTTTCCATTCGCCGTCAAGGCTCTCCTTCCATAGCGTCACCTGCTCCTCTGCTCACAACGCTTCTTTCTCCCATCACACTGCTTCACCTTCCCGTCTCCGCATGACACCGCGAGCACGTTGCCTGTCAGCGACCAGCTCACGCGCCACACGACAGCATCGAACGTCGGCAGCTTCTTGCAGGTCCTACCAGCCGTCACCGCCTGCACACACCTCCAGCAGAGATCCACCAGGCCTTGCCGGGTGCTTGGCTCCAGATCATGACGACCTTGTCTTCCGCGCAGCTCGCGATGGTCTGCCGATGACGTCACATGCGGAGGTCCAGCAGCACCTCGTCACCTGGACGGGCAGGCCGAGGCTGGGGGCCCATGCTACATCCCTGACCCAACCAGAGTGCTGAGAGCTCTGAGACAAGATCAGCATGGGACAGCATGAGTTGGTTCCGGCTCTCTCGCACCTGATACATGCGGTTGAACTCCTCGTCGAGCACCACGTCTCCCGATTCCTTTATCCTCCAAATCCTGACAACTCCGTCGCATCCTCCGCTCACAAACGCTGACAACCAGGTCACTCGCTCGTTTGCTCCCCTCTTCTTGTATGCCACCTGCTTGTAGCGACGTGGCATTGGCCGTAGTGCTCGAGCCAGGAGCAGCAGCAGGGGCCCATGAAACTGCATTGCAACCGATCTGATGCGCGTCATGCACCACACGCTCGTCCCACGAGTTGTCCCCTTGCCCTGCGAGATCGAGTGAGATCACGAGGCTGCCAGTCTGTCCAGCACCTCTCCAGCTCAAGATCGAGATTGTTCCATCAGCTGAAGCGGCGGCGAGCTTCAGCCCGAGCTCGTGGGGGGCGAAGGCGATGCTGTTGACGGAAGACTGATGGTCCGCGTACTCGTAGATCTTGGTCCACTGCTGAAGCTGAACCTCCTTCCACACACAAACCTGGAAAGACCAGAAGACTTGAGCATGCGAGGGATATAGCATCGTACCGTACCTTGCGATCATACGAGCAAGAGGCTAGGATGCTCCCGAACTTGGGGTGAGCCCAGGCAACCTGAGGCCAGCAGATCAATGAAGAAAGGCAAAGACCGAGTTGCAGAGGGCAAGACCTGCCAGATGGGTCCCTCATGCGCGGCGATGGTAGCGGAAAGTTGGTGGGACGTTTGATCCGGGGAAACCTTGGAGGAGGCGTGAGGGGGCGAGGAGGAGGAGCAAGCAGCTCACGTCAAAGATCTTGATGAATCGATCCGACGAGCACGTCGCGAGTCTCTTCCCGTAGTAGTCGAGCTGCACGTCATGCTAGCAGGAGAGTGAGAGCACTGTCAAACACCAACAAGGCTTACAATCATGTCTTCATGCTGTGTGTCGATGGATGAATCTGGCATGGGCCCTTGAGATTGTGGCTGAGCGACCATTGCAGCCATCCTGAAACTTGAATTCATTTGATGTCAGTGAAAAATATCATTCCAACTCTCTCGACGTTTCTTGTTTGCTTCCACGTCTGCTTGCGCATGTTTGAACCTACCTCATGAAGGATATTGGTCTTCCTAATTTTCCAACACAACAGCTTTCTGCACTCTTCCCCTTGATACTTTTAAACTTATCGTCCTTCTGACTGCCTGCCTGCCTGCCTGCCTGCCTGCCTGCCTGCCTGCCTGCCTGCCTGCCTGCCTGCCTGCCTGCCTGCCTTCCTGCCTTCATCGCTGCTTCTCTCGCTGCTTCTCTACCGCCTCCTTCCTTCCTCTCCTCGCACGCCCGTGCTCATAGAGCGAAGACCCTCTGATGACCCCCTACCCACTAAATTCCTATGTTTGGATGGGGTGAAGGTGGTCAGGTCTCTGACCTGGCACTCTCAATTCAGAGAAGGGGTGGGGTTGTCGAATTGTGGGGGTGCATCGACGGGAAATGGGGGGTGGGGGTCCAACTGTTTTCTTGTAACAAGGGGGTGGATTGAGCTGCAGTCAAGCCATTCGTAGTGAAACGGTGGGGTGAAAGCTGGGTTTTAGAGGGGTATTCTGATGACCAGGGGTGGTGAGAACTGAAGGGGTGGTTGATAATTGCAATTCTGAGGCGGACTCTAATTGATCCAGATTGTGCCAAGGGGTGAGGTACCGGGAAGGAGGGGTGAAATTGTGGTCAATGGGAGGGGTTCTTTGTAGGTCATGGGGGTATGTCAGTGGGTGCAGGGGCAGGGGTACAGGAAGGAAGTTGGCGGGAACATGGGGGACGCAGACCGACTGCCGATGTCGAACGTGAGCAAGATCATGGCGATGAACCTGCCGAAAGGTGAGTGAAAACCATGGCGAACGAAGGTCGAAGCATTCAGAATAGGAAACAAAGGTTGAGGCGTTAAACGTGAAGAATGAACAATCGATAATTGAGAAGGGAAAAGAGAGAATGGGGAGAAAGGGAAGAGACAGGCAAGAAAGGAGAATACAGACATAGCAGGGAAGGAGCAATTTTAGCCAGGTGGGTCAAGAAATTGCGATGGAGGAACGGGAGTGTGGAAGTTTGAGATACAACAGAGGATAATGCGGGAAGTCTGGACAAAGCCAGCAGGAGAGGCTGCCGAGGCTTTGAGGAGATGAAAAGATGACATGACAAGGATTGAATGATATGAGAAAGAAGACATCTTGACATGATATCTCATCCGAAGATCGAATGTATAGTTGAGTACATGCGGAGATGTATCGGGTGGACGGAGTCGAGTAGAGCGATGTTCCTGTGGTTGGGGATGCCGCGAGAGAGTGAAATTGCAAACAAACTTTGTGAGGAGGGTGAGGATTCTGTGAGATACAAGCTGCGAACTATGAGATACAAGCTGCGTCAAGTGCGGTGGTCACATGGGGTTCTAACGCGATTCTTGAACTAGACGTTGCGGTTGCAAAAGAGGCAAGGGTCGCCCTGTCGGCATGCGCAACCGTTTTCATACATTATATCACTGAGTTGTATGTTGCTCTGAGATCATTCTCATCTACACCCTCATGCTTGTTCATCAGAGCTGTGCAACAATGTGACAAGAGGAAGAAGGTTACTCTCAACCCCGAAGACATCATCGAGGTAAGGTTCCTTGTCAAGCCAAGTTGGTTCGAAGAGTGCGATTGCCTCCTTGCAAGCACACAGTGATATGCAACTCTCAGGCGCTGAGGGAAGCAGAGTTCGAGGAGTTTGAAGAGACTCTGGTGCAATCTTTGAACAACTTTAGAAATCAGATCAGCAACGCCAAGAAAACCTCTGCTGCCAAGCGGCAGAAACTGGCGGACCCAGAGGAGGCTGGAGCAGACAATGCAGGTGATGTTTGCCATGGTGAGATGTGCCGCTCACATGCAGCAGGACAAGCGATTGATAACGACAACTCTGCTTCTCAGGCTGATGGTGGTCAAGATGATGAACAAGTGGCAGAGTCGGAAAAAGCCTAGACCCAATCACAATCGCCTCCACCATGCTCTCCTCACTTGGAACGCGCTGCATAGACATTGTTTTCCTGTAAAAATACCCTTTCTCCCTTAAAGGCTCTTCAAGCAAACTCTCTTGCCTTGAACCGTGTCTGCACACGAGAAACAATCTCAGTACATCTCCGGTCACATTCGCATGAATCCACATCGAAACCTCCCTCGACGCCGATCCGACAATCACACAATGTATTTACTTGATCACATATACTTAGCATCTCAAAATCACATCGAATCTCTGCCTCGTTACAGTGAGGCAGCAGCCAGCATAAGTTCAAACCTTCGAGAGAGATATCACTGGTGCTCTCTTGGCCCTCCTGCTCGGAGCAAACCTCCGATTGAGCATGTACGAGCTCTGCTGCAGCGCGGCTCGCTCCAAGGACATCTTTGCCAGGGTGTTTCGGATCTGCGGGAGGTAGGTATTGACATTAGTCTGAAGGTAGATTGGCTCTGACAGGGACGAATCCGTCCTGTCTGCGGACTCCTTCGCTCCGATCGCTCCTTGTCGCCCCTGCTCTCTAGTGAGCGCGTTGCTCGAAGGGTCTTCAGCTCCCTTGGGCTCGATCCGTCTCCAGAACTCAACCCCGCCTTTGACTCTCTTGACAGCAAACTTGTTCTTAGCGGCGAAGACAATCTCTTCGGCATGCTCTGCCTCGGAGAACATGGCCTTGGTATTCTTCCTCTTGCCACTGGGCTGCTGAATAGGCGGCAGTGAGGAATCCAAGGACTGCATGTTCTCAGAGCTTGTGATTGAGGAAATGCTAGGCTGGGGCAACACCTCTCCTTCACTCTCCCTTCCTTGTTGCGCAGCAAAGAATCTCTCCTGTTGTTCAAGCATGGATGCGCGCTCACGGAGCAATTTTACGACCGAGTGGTTCACCAGAACATTCTCGTACTTGCGATGCCACAGCGACGCGACATAGAAACTATGACACCCTTGCATGACTAGCTGATTGAAGTCAAATGCAATTTATCTCTTGGGGTTTGGATCTTAGACTCACTTAAAGTGTGTTGCACTGAGAAAAAAAAGATCTCTTGCAGTTCCTGTTATGGAGACAGCAGTGGTGTACTAAACGTCCAGGATAAGAAAGGAGCGGACGTGCGGTAAGAAAGAGACAAACGAGAAGTGCTATCGAGTACCTTGGGTGACAGGCTGACAGAGAAGCAAGAATTGCATACGAGGAGGAGGCAGGATAGAGAGAGGAGTGTGTGTGTGTGGTGGGGGAGCAGGAGGGGGGGACAGCTGGCGTGGTGGCGTGGGTGGACGAGCGAAGTGAACCTTCCACGTACCTGACACAGCAGGTCACAGGGATCGAAATGAGGACAAGTACCGTGAGTCGCAGGATCCGGTTCCACCAGCACCCCAACCTGACCCACGTAGGGCTGGCACCAATCCTCGTTTGCAAAGGATGCAGCTATCTTGACTTTCTCTCCTGGTTTGATCCTCTTGTCAAAATCTTTGACGATCCCTACACCACAGTCAGCAGGACAGCAAACAGCAGTCTCAGCATGTGACCTCTCCCCGCATCACTGACAGTCCTGCCTCGGAAGTCATCCAACACAAGGTCAACTTTCGCCTGGCTCAGGTCCTCCTTCCTCCTGAC